AAAAAAAAAAAAAAAAAAAAAAAAAAAGAAACATATTACAGACTGAAGTATAGTGCAGTGGAGAAGAAGCCTTTAAGTCCTTGATAATATTCCAAGTTCGCCCACGTATAGGAAAATCTCACCGTTTCACGGAACAACACTAGTCATCCGATGGTAGTCGATATCTACCGATCCTATCCGATATTCCACGGCGATGGTTATACTTAGAGATGGTTGGCACCGCATACTTTATTGTAACACTGCAATTTCGCACGATAGCCAAGCGACACTCTTGTTGCAAAACAAAACGACGATATACCGAGAAACACTATCGTCTTGGTTCTCTTATCGAGAATTCCCCAGATAAGGTATACCCGAAGCCAATGGCGCCTATAGACATTTTCACGTGTGAGTTTTATCAGACAAGAGAGAACGTGCACTTTCGTTTGTCTATATTGCTTAGATATCTTATACTCAGATATATATATATATATGTACATTCATTGCACAAAAATATCAATTAAATGAATAAAAAAATTAATTAAAATATATTTTCGATATTATTAAAAATATAATATATATAATTCAATACTTTTTATACATATTTCATTAATGCGTTTTAATATATTGAATATATAAATTATTTTCAAGAGAAATTTCGTTAACGGCGACGAGTGACAGGTTAGTCAGCATACGCAAGCGACATCGTCAATCCAGAAGCCTGATTTAGTGTTTTAAACAAGACGAAAAGTGCCGAGGGGTGCCGAAGGGTGCCGAAGGAAGTAACGTAATCTTAACTCGTATAAACACACACGGCGCCTAATCACTTATGTTGAACACAGGAAAATAAATCGAGAGACGTCGGTAGGTACCACGACCTATGACCCAGCCGGTCAGAAAATACATTAATTTAAGCTTATGCCTCGAAGCCACGGCAAGTGCGTACCAGACACAGGTATCTCAATAGCAGCCATCGAGAATGCACTTTCGGACTGGAATGTATGCTCTTAAAATTTAAATCATCCTGAGATGCAGCTAAAGATGCAATTTAAAAAGTTTCCAAAAATTCTTCATCGACCATCCAAAATTGTTGTTGATAATTTTCAAAATTATTTACAGCGAAATTTATTCCCATTTCGAATCGAATACCCCACCTATTGTTTTAATACAATTTTCCACATATCCATTCCACCCATCTCGTTCCCACTCCCCCATATGACGACGAGAGAAAATAAAGGGATGCTGCGAGATGGGAATGCGTCTGCTACGTTTCAAATCCTGCTAGATCTTTAAACGCCATTCGTGTAAACACGAGCGAAAATACACTCCTCTCGTTTCGGGTCCATTCAGTGAGGAGAGTGTGGTTAGTTTCATTCACAGCTACCCCCACCCTGCCGTGAAGCCACTACTATGTTTTCAGCCGTGCAGACCTTCCTAAACAACTCCTACGCTAGACAGTTCGGAATTAGATCTTAGCTGATCCTTACGAAAGCCACAGAATCAGCCTCCCCCAATATCCATCCCGATACCAGGACGACCAGTAGCCACCCAACGCTACCCCAATACAAAGTGAGAGTGAAGAATAAAAAAAATCTTATCTCCCAACCAATTAATCCTTTATTAATATCCAATTAATCCAGATTGACAGAAAGTGTGTCCAATCTTGTTAATAAATACAAAGCAGCTGATACCCATAACCACCTATTTGCATGTACATTCTGACATATGAAAATACCATCAGTTAGTCGCATGGCGCCGACGGCACTGTCTAACCTGTACACATACGCCATCGCCTTGGCCCATACCTCAAGCTGCATTCTCGTCTGGCGTCAGAACAGTAATTAAGTCACTTTGCGATTCAACCACACCGTACGTACACGATACAGTCGATGAAAAGCATCGTTCCTCTTTATTTTACACTGGTCGGCCGTCCGCGTGCCTTCCGCTTGGTATACGGGAAAATAAACTTACAGCAGCCCGTGGCAAATTTTTCAAGGTGCCGAAGGTGCGCGGAGTACACGGAGTAACGGGGGTTCGGAGGTATTTGTCGCTCGTTCGAATTAGGAGGAAACGTGGAAATGTCAAATTCTCATGAATCTTCGCAAGACGCGCTTTACTCGCTTGTAACATGTGTTTATGTATATATAAAAATTCAGGAGATGATGCCGCTTGGATAAACACCAATTAGCCATTGAAAATTCTGAGAATGTCTCGTACGTACGGTACGTGTCTACTTTGTCGGGCATACATATATATAGGTATTTGGAGGTATATTGTATATATATATATATAATGGGTATCCATTACTATCAGACGAATCGCATCATGCGTAAATTCGTAGCGGTGCACACGTGTCTATTAATAGATACTTATTCGCGACAACTTTCGACTATGGGAATTACCCATATGGTATTTGTTCTAAGTCAGTGATGATTTTACACTTATGTCAGCATTTCTTTCGGAGGAAGAGACTGGATGATGACTCTTTGGACTGTAGCGAGCGGAGAGCGTGGCTTCTCTTTTTTCTTGCTCTTTTTCTTTCTGTCAATATTGGCACTACAATGACGTACACTTCTTTCGCGGTAATAGAAGATGGACTGGTTACTGGTCATCAAAACGAAACGGTCGATTGTGCCACTTCATGTTTTTTTTTCTCGCTTCTTCGCATTGAGTCAAACGATTTGACGCGATTGCAATTTTTTTTTTTTCAATTTTTTCAAATTCCTTTGTCATGATGATTTTGTACTTGGACGTTTTATAATTTTGGTCCAGGCCGAAGTCTAAATCGTGTCCAGGGATCATTTGATAAGGATCGAGTTATCTGAAACTGTACCTATGCACCTTCCAGGAAGGATATGCTGGTTTTAGGTAAATTAGAAGCGGTACGTGAGTAACTTGACAAAGACGATGTAAGGGATTTTGAAATTTATCAAAATGCATCGTGAGGCAATTCAAAGGGATAGTACGGTTATAGATATCACGTAGTGAAAAATATTCCAGACAGCCGATCCCATGGCAAAGATATGCCTGGGAAAAGGTCAGTCGCTCGTGACGGATAAAGAAATTTTTGGAAACGTTATATAAAAAATTAATAAATCAACGTTTGTCTTCCCGGTGACTCGTGATACGCGACTAAGGTGCGGAAATGGAATTTAGGTTGTGTAAATATGTGTAACAATGTTTTCCTGGTTTTTTTTTTTTCAAGAAATACATAATTTCTTTGGATATCCTTAAATTACCCTGCTCAACCATCCTGGAAGTCTAGGCCTTACAGAGATCAGCCAATGCAGGAACATCGCACGTCGGATACGCACTTCATTGAACCTAAGAGACTCACCGAGTTGCCCGTGTATACTTTCGTAGGCACATTGAAAAAATATACGACTAAACCGAATAGTGTGTACCTACCCTATTTCTTGTTTTACTATAAAAAAAAAGAAGTGTATCGTATATAAAAAAAATATATATAGCACCATGCTAAACAGGCTGAACTGAAAGAAACCCAAAAATAAATCCCAAGAAATCTGGTACGTTTCGTCCAAACAAATTTTACAAGTACATTTTTAATGCAACAAATGCAACGAAAATTATATTAAGTTACGCATATATAAAACATACAGGATCAGCTGGACGAGCATATAGTAGTCACTGTTGATATGTTTACGTGGTTCCCGTCACTTCAAAGATCTTTTTCTATTAAAGAACGTTAGCCCGAATGTCTGGTCCGGTTTACGTCTTTTCCGGTAACTGGTAGAAATGGTTATTTATAGGAAAGCAGTGCAGGTCATATTCGTGCAAACGGGAAGAAGACTTTGCATTGGTTGCATAGGGACGAGTTCATCATAAATTCTGATGCAATCGAAATGCAGTTTCAGATGCAACTCCATCCACTGGTGTCTGAACAGTCAGTAAAAACTTATATACGTAGGTAGGCCTCCTAATCGAGGTCGACGTAACGTAGAAAAGGTGGTTCGATCTCAGTCGACTTCATCTTTTTTTTTATTTTTCCTTTTTTTTTTTCATCAAAGCATTTTGGTGCATGGTTATTGGCTCCGAACAATATTTCTTTATTCCTCTTTCTCTTCTCCGCGCTATGGGTCGCGGCACGGAAATTCGAAACCGGCGGCTCGTTTACTGTTTATTTAAAGGAAAGTAACGATCGGCCGTTAAGAGGTACGCCGTGGATAATGCACGATCCGATCCGGGAGAGGACAGGTTCCCGTAATAAATCGCAGCCGCGAGAACTGGCACTATGCAATCAAGGATGGCCCGATAATCTGCAGTGCACACATGTATATGAATAGGTGGTCAGATACATGAAGATTGGTCCAGGAGGGACAAGCTGCCGAAATTGTAGCCATTATAAGGATAAAGGTGAGAAACCAATAGAGGTAGGGGATTTCGTGTTTCCTCGGGACCAGATCAAAAATCCAAAGACTTCCCGTGATCCGCACGAAGTGCAAATAAAGATGGAACGAAGGAATTCAAAGAAATGAGATTAAAGGGGGAAAAAAAAAAAAAAAAAAAAAAAAAAAAAAAAAAAAAAAAAAAAAAAAAAAAAAAAAAAAAAAAAAAAAAAAAAAATTTAAATGGGCGTACTCGCACTTTTAAACCCCCGCGTTAACTGGGCGTACCCTGAATGAAACGATGAGATCGCAATTTACGATCCTACGGGATTTTTAGCGTCGTTCGTACTTTTCCACTTTTTTTTTTCTTTTTTTTCCATAAACACTTTTCATTCTCCTTTCATCCTTAACCCTTACGCCGCCATTCGTATGCGCACGTCTATGCGCACTCGGGATCATCGCCGATTTATCGCTTCTCGTATGTCGGTTCCACCTCGTCCTAGTCTCACTTCAGGCTCCCTTCTATCCACTGCGATTTTCTTTATGCACCCGCTATGCATTTACGTATAAAGTTTCTCGCGAGTTAACACTCCTTCCGCGCATGCCGACGATATGGAAACGGCTCTTTTATATTACGCGCTTATCGACCTTAATACATCTTGCTATTTTACTTACGTTCTAACTCGCTGGTTAGGTTAGGTTGGCAGTTGGTTCTACCTCGTAGTACTTGGTACTTACCCGAAGGGCGAAATTCCTGACGCTCTACGGGGATCCAGCTTGGATACCACTGATCGGTTAACTTTTCACGAGTCACTGTACAATATTGAGTTACGGCTGATAGGGTGTCTCCGGGATTTTTTTGTTTCACAGTACGATAAGGCACAGAAGTTAAGAAACTCTTCTTTTTTTTTTCTGTTGATAACGACACTATCCAAGATTCACTGTAGTGTGAACAAGTTTTTCTTTTTAGGTAGAACACACTTAGCTGGTCGTGAAATATTTTTTTATTTTTTTTTTTTTACTCTTTGTGGCTGACTGAACGACGGGGTGTTAATATCTTTTTATTTCATACGCGAACGAACGGCTCCTTGGGTTAAACGTTTTATTAGAGACCGACGTTGCACTCGCGATCGGCTACGACGGCGTGATTCTTTCTCGCAACTTTAGTTTGCGTTGTGGGATTATACTTTGCGTCGGGTATCACCGTGGGATGGATTTAAGACACGTGGATTTAGTTTTGATAGGCTAGATTGTTTAAAGGCACTTTTCAATATTTTGATGCTTGATAATTTCGTCGGTAGGATAAGCACCGTTGGTTCATAAAAAATTAGATATTTCGAAAATTGACTTTTTTTTTAAAAAAAAAACATTATCTCGCAATACCGAGTCTCTGATATTCGCACAGTTTCTACGTCACCATTATAAACTATTGTCAGTGCTTAAAAAATATAGTAAGCCACACTCAAAACCAAAAAAAAAAATACTCAAAAATCTCGAGCACAGCAATATTCGTATAACGAACGAAAACCCAAAAGATACAATAACCTGCGTCAGATCACAAATAGAAAAAACATCTTGAAAAATAGACTACCCCCTACATCCCGTAAAAAAAACCACGCAGTACACAAAATCCCTCTTCGTCTCCTCTTGAGTTTCCGAAAAAGCACTAAAAAAATCAACATCAATCACACACAACAATCCCATCACAAAGCCCCGACGAGTCTGTCCGTTCGATATAAAACCCGTAAAACCGTATCCAAAAATTGGATAAAATAAAATTCAAAATTTCTATAAACCAGCCCAAAAGTGACCCTCGTACCGCAACCCGCTCCTCGATAAATGAAAAACCAAAGTCTTCGATCCCAGTGCGCACCGCACGACTTCGCCTTCGGAACTGCGAACAGCAGTGCGAACCCTTTGACCCCAGATCGTTCACGCTCAGCTTCTGGTCCGCACTCCGGAGCGACTTCCTCTTCTTCTTCTTGGGCCGGCGGGCTACGTGCCACGATACTCCCACGTAAGGACACACCGAATGCGATGACGAGTCTCGAGCGTTCCTGAGATGGTGCAGAGCGCAGTGAGCGACGCATGGCCATACAAGACACCGAGAGACCCGAAGACTGAGACTGCGGTGAGCCAGTGGAGCCAGTGAAGCCGGCAGTGTCTGAGCCAGTCTGAGCAAGTGAGCAGTGAGCAGCAGTGAGCAGTAGTGAGCAGCTCAAACCGCCACTCTGCCCAGTTGGCTGCCGCAACTGGTACCACACTGAACCCTAAATCCTGCATAACACGCCCCCACCACAACAATATTCCCGCACGTCACTCAAAAGTGATGATCCTCAAAATCGTCTTCCAACCCTATATCAAAGATCCACAGAGCCGTATCGATCGAGTTCAGGAATGAGCTATGACTTTACAGAGCGTATGGATGAGGTGGTTGAGCTATCGCGAACGCTCGATGTAAACTGCCAGGAGCAAAGGGGCTGCTCGCGATATTATGCTCACCAGCCAACCACCCAAGGATTCACGCGCAACGGACCTTCTTCTTTCTCCTGGAACTCGGGCGCCATTTGCCAAGCTTCTTTTTTCCTCCCGTTTCAGCGACGCTGCTACTGCCCCTTTACCTTGCTGATTCCAGACAATTTTTCACATACCTTTTTGGGCTTTTCGCACCTGCTCGCTTTGTTGCTGCTATTCCCTGCTACCAATATACTCAATCGACTCAGGCCCAAGTTGATCGTTCATTCAATCAGCTTCCAACGTCTTTCTTGGACGACCGGTAGCATTTACCGTTCAATCAAGTATCCATACGATCCTTGTACGAAGATATCAAAATACACAGGAAGAATATGTCAACTTTGCTTCACTGACAGTTCATTCTTAATCAACGTTTGATAATCTGTCTAGCGATTCTCCGTAGTTCAAGTGCATCAGTTGTTTTTGCACTTGAAAATATGCGTATCCAGATAGCAAAGACTAAAGATTTATCTCAAAGGGGAAATCGTGATAAGCAAACGTTTCTTTTTTCATTCGCAAATACCGCTATGAAAATTCAGTCTCGAATCTCTGATCGGTGGAAACATTTTTCAAAATTATTATCCCGCGCGTTTTATAGTACAGATCATTGTGAAAAGAGCCAATAAAGTTTATGCCCTGCACAAATAAAAGTCGGACCCGATAAAGGTTCCCTCGTGTAATATCGTCTTTACGATTCCAGCCGAAGCCAAGCTCTCCTCACGGTCCTACGATGGTCTCTCTCTCTCTCTCTCTCACTCTCACTCTCTCTCTCAGTCCCTCCCAGAGATTGGAGCCACTAGCTGCTACGATGCGTGATCGTGATTCGTGACTTTCGCGTGTTAATTTGGCACCGATTGTCGGATCTCCTATATACTTACATCATGCTGCTATGTATACCTATATACTTAACACCTATGAACTTGCATCCTCATTGCTGGAATAGGTATACATATATATATACCTAATATATGGCATAGGCCTAAGCTACGTAGAGGTGCAGGTACCAATAAGAGCAGATTCTGAAATAGCGTGAAACTTTCATAGCGCCATTCAGAATTCTTCAACGTGCAACTATCTTCTTCATCTTTGCGATTTATGCATTTCCCATAGCTCGCGAGACTTTAAAGATACACTCGATGCTTTTTAAGTTCCGTCGGTATCGATTCCTATCGCTTCAATATCAATCGACACTGGATATAATCTTACATCGACAATCAGAAATTGTTGACAAAGAAGTGGCAAGCGGGGAAAAAGATGTTAGAGAAGAATTTCTGAAGATCTCATCTTTCTCTTTTTTTTTTTTTTTTTAACGACTCAAAAAATCTATCGATCACGGTCACCGGTCTTACGAGACGAAAGAAAAAATCAACCAATCGTATCAATGACTCGGATAAGGCTCGTAGAAGTTAATAGAGATATCGGTACTAATTGAAAAAAAAAAAATTTTATCAACTCTTCAACACGATCTCTATACTGAGAGTCAACGTCAAGGCTCCCAGACAAGGTGCAACGTATTTCTCCATGTGCGATTGAAAAAAAAAAAATCATTTTACTTTGACAAATTTAAAAATTCAATCAGACCTTCATCAGGAAGATCCAGTTGAATTTATCAGTTGGGTTACCCGCGAGTATTTAATTCTTATCAGTAAATATCACGTGTCCCAAATTTCAGTCGTAAATGACGTGCGATACGATACAAACGCACGCAGCCATTATTTATCAACATAAAAAATAATTAATCATGGCAACACTGCAGATCCAGAAAAGAATTGGTGACACCGCTGACAGTATAGATCCAATAAATAATGACGGATCGAATGTTTTTTTTTCATATTAAAAATCATCAAACAATACTTCCATCCTAATTGCAAATAACATTTGATAATTAACTAGGCCCAAAGACGGCAAATAACTTGTAATTATGAAAATTGCGAAAAATCTTTTTACATCGTTCTTAGGACAACTGACAACGTGGCGGGGGCCCAGTCGTGACGAACCGTCAAGCGGGCTGTAAGCAAGTCTAACCATTATCAACCGGCGACACGATAATCACCGGACGCAAGATACGCATAACGTAAATAATCCTAGACGTTATTAATTTCGTATAATCCTATGTGAAAATCCAAGTCGTACGTAACTCACGACGTAACCGATACAGCACTTCCGTAATCGATGAAACTTCAGATATTGATTTTGTACGATTGTCAATTTTTCTTTTCTCTCGTTCTACGTTGCAACACTCGAGATAAACAAATGAATAAATCATCAATGCTGACACTGTCATTGTCATTATAATATTCGGTAGTATCTCCTGTACAGCAGTCATCAAATATTGACATTTAAATTAGTCTAGTAGCCGGACGCGTCTCGATCCTTAGAAATGCAAATTTCAAGCGTGCTCCTATTTGCCTTGTCAATTAACGCTATTGATAAGACGAACGATGGGGATTCGTTAGCGCCTCGTCATACTTAAAAAAGGATTATACGTATGGCGATTATTCCGAGAAAAGTCAAGAGAAAAATATCAAGCAAAGAATACAACATCCATTCGCGCTCATAGGGGACGTTCAATCAAATTTCATTTTATCTTTTCATCGATCATTTCGTCTGCTGCGATACACGATAGAAATGATACCCAATCATTTTCTTTGCTTTCTTTGCCGCAAACTTTTTAATTTAAATATTAGCCATCGTTGCCAAATATTACGTCAAGTCATCCCCTGTCACGTCGTTATAACAACAATGAACGAATGGCTTCAATAAAGTATCATATATATATATATAGCTCTATCACAAAAAAGCGGCATAGATCAAACGTTATCGAATTTCAATAAATAAACATTAGAATCTAATCTGATAATACACACTCGCCATACGTGTATATATATAGTGTATACAAATCGTGAAAATAAATGCGTTCAAGGATGAAGTCTTATTTTTTTTTTTTTATCAAGTATTCTTTTATCAATTATCCCATTTTATTATTATTGCAAACGCTTCGAAATATTTCGTCGTCGCGCGACAACGGAATTTCATAATGAACCAAGATAAAACAAATTGCCGTAGTCGTCAGCATCCGATAAATATCTCGTATGGGAATGCACGATCTAATCACACAGAGCTTCGTAGCGAACTGTAAGAATCGCGTGGGTGAGTTTCTATGTGAACTTCTGTACGTTAATACTGTCCATGGATTCCGTATGTCCCGTAGAAATTTTTTAACTGTCAACCTGCTGTCAGGCTTACTACCCGCTTTATCTGACGAGAGTCGAACATAATGGATCTAATCGCGGTACCGGTCTTGGATATCGCATGTAGCGACATTTTGTAAATCGTTTGGCGACCAGACTTCGATACCTACGCGAATTTCCATGGGACGTTCTACGAAGCAATACAATAACCATCGAGTATACAGAATAAAGATGAACTTTGTATAAATAAAATGTTAGTCGCGCGTGGCAAGTAAAAAGGAAAGATCGAGAGCAGTTGCTTCTTTTTTTTGTGAATGAAAAAAAATTTTTTGTCTCATTACGATCGTAATAAAAAATAAATAAACTACCAGCAATTTCTTTCGTATCCATGACTAAGTCTAAGGACGTAATATAACGTGTTTTATATTAAATTTATATTTTTCTTAGATTGCTCCGATGCAGTAAGCATAATCGAGCGTATGTGTATACATATAGCGGAGACTTTATTAATTATTGCCAATAGACGATTGGCGTTCAATCTTGGGCGGGGCCTTGCGTGCAATGTAAATTAATGCCCCCGACGATCCAGGAGCTACGAGTCTTCGAGCTCGAAGCAATGTAACGCTCCGGGATCGAACGAGCTATGAATTAAGAACGGCCGAGCCGGCGACTGTCCATTGCAAGTGCGTAGATCCTACATGGGGATAAGACCAAATACAAATACGAGAAGTATTTATCGTGTATGTTGAAACTGGTCCAGCTTGGACATTAATCCCTCGAGGATAAAAAAGTGAAGAAAAAAAAAAGAACGAATGAGTAAAGTTATGAGGTATTAAGAAAAAAGAAAAAAAAATGAATAAAAAATCGTTCGAAGGGTCGTGACCATTTTTTTGTATGTAAACGAACGGGGGCCTCACGGAGTCCTACGTGATTTTTGTTTGGTTTGAAATTTCGTAGGACTCGATGGGAAAATAGCGAGAGACGGAAAGGAAGGGAAAAATAAGTCATGAGAGGCCCAAAGAGATTCTAGAGATCTTCTCTCGTGGAAGTGACACGCCCCCCTTGTTACCCTCGGGGTACCCAACTTTTTGGTCTCTACCGACTGATAATATCTTGGCAAATAACGTCCGCGGAACCCTTTAAGTCTTCGCCGGGCTGCCGCCTTGTGCACGTAATGCCCTAAAATTAAACAGTCCACGGCGCCGAGGGCGACGCCCGGATTCGGACGACGCTTGGCGTCGAGATACTGCCCCGACTTCTCACGTCGGATAATTGGAATTTGTCCGCGATATTCGACATCGATTATACTGGGCCTTATGCGTGCATCGTTCTTACCACCTCGACCGCTTCTTCTTCCTGGTGAACGCGGAGAACCCGTTTCTGGAGACCGTAAGAAATACGCAGGTGTCGAAGGGGCCAAAAAGAATTCTTCAAAGTAATAATAGCGCCTAATAATATTGCTTGGCAACGAATGACCCAAAAAATATCAGTGACCTGGCGATAGAGTCACGACTCTCGTGGCGTCTACGAGTGAGTGACGCCACCAAAGTGAGAATTTTGTTTTGTCTCGTACGGATTGCGGACTCGACTTGATCTTCGTGTTTACAGCCAGTGTCGTCGGTCCCTTTGGGTTTCACGTCGAGGTCTACACGAGTTCCTCTGGCGAAACCCTAGAAATAACTGTGAAATTCCCTAGGATCAAAGATTCATCGGATTACATTGATCCCTAGAGATATTACCCTACGTCACTCTTGTC